GTTTTTTCATATTCTTGTAGGGGTTCTGATGTAACTCGTGAAGTCGGATGGGTGATATTTGATGAAGTTCACTACATGCGAGAGAAGGAACGTGGAGTAGTTTGGGAAGAATCTATGATAATGTTGCCGAGTAAAGTTAATATGGTTTTTCTGAGCGCTACAATTCCAAATGCAAGGGAGTTCGCTCAGTGGATCGTCAGCTTGCATTTGAATCCGTGCAATGTAGTCTATACGGATTTTCGCCCCACCCCGCTGCAGCATTATGTTTTCCCTTGTGGAGGTGATGGTATACATCTTGTTCTCAACCAAAAAGTAATCTACACTTTTTTATACAACTCGCGGAGCTTTAGGAATACATATGTCCCATTCTTGTTTTAGGGCGAATTTATTGAATCAAATTTTAATTCGGCAATGGAGATCGTTAGAAACGCAGCCGATAACGCGAAAAGCGACACGGCTCTGCGTGGTAGAAAGGGAGGGTCACTTCGTAAGTGCGCATCATTATATGTCTATTTCAGAGGTTCAACCATATTGCTATAAGCTAGTTAAGCTAGTAATGGATCAGCATTTGGAGCCACTTATCGTATTTTCTTTCAGTAAACGTGATTGCGAATTCTATGCAATGCAACTAAATGCAATGTCATTTAATAGCGGTATTTATTTGATAATTCTAATCATAATTTGAAGCTGAAGAAAAATCGGCCGTGGATTTAATTTTTAATAATGCTATTGCTAGTCTTTCTGCTCAAGATCGCACTCTTCCTCAAGTTCAAAGCATCTTGCCCTTAATCAAACGAGGAGTTGGGATCCACCATGGTGGGCTCCTGCCTATTCTTAAAGAGATTGTAGAAATACTTTTTTCTGAGGGCCTTATAAAGGTATTTTCTTAATATATGCTAATTCATCTTCCAATAGGTTCTTTTTGCTACTGAGACATTTGCAATGGGCCTTAATATGCCCGCTCGCACTGTTCTTTTTACCTCTACTCGTAAATTTGACGGAGCTACTTTCCGTTTATTATCGCCTGGTGAGTATATTCAGATGTCTGGTCGTGCTGGACGACGCGGAAAAGACACCCTTGGTACTGTGATAATCATGGCCGATAACACGCTCTCTCCATACGCGGCTAAACAACTTCTCCTTGGCCAGCCTGACCCTTTAAACTCTGCCTTTCATCTTACCT